ATGAGAGAGAGAGAGAGAGAGAGAGAGAGAGAGAGAGAGAGAGAGAGAGAGTGTGTGTGTGTATCATGGTGCATGTATGGAGATCAGAGGACAGCTCTGGGGATCCGGTTCTCTCCTTACACCTTTATGTGGGTTCCGGGATGGAACTGGGTTATCAGGCTTGTTCAAGAAGTGCCTTTACCAGATTGCTGGTGCCAGATTCACCAGACCGCGGGTGAATCCTCTTGGCAGGTGGGCGTTGCTGATTGGTGCAGCTTTGCACACAGCAGACCCTGCCATTTCTGTCTCAGACTCACAACCAGAAGAAGAGATCCCTCCAGCCATCGAGCCCCCGCTTGAGCCACGCCTGGAGGAGCTGACAGTGACTGGTGTAACCCCCAATTCTGTGAGCCTCTCATGGATGGTCCCTGAGGGGCAGTTTGATTCCTTCATGGTCCAGTACAAGGACAGGGATGGGCAGCCCCAGGAGGTGCCTGTGTCTTCCGACCAGCGCAAGGTCACCATCCTCGACTTGGACCCTGCAAGAAAATACAAGATGAACTTCTATGGTCTACATGGCAGAAGGCGTGTGGGCCCCCTCTCTGTGTTGGCAATGACGGGTGAGTGAGGCAGCACCCATCCCTGGTGGTCACAGTCCTTCCTGAAGACCTTGTCGCAGCCTTGCGTGGGGCTACCGTTCCTCACCCGTCAGTCTCTGCGCCAGTGACTACAGGCCTCTCTGCAGACTCACAGACTTCTAATCCAGGCCCCAAACCTCCGGGAACCTTCCCACCCTCTGGTGACTCGGCGACTCGCTCATCTGCAGGCCAACCCTGACCCTGCATCCCATTTGGCTCCCTCTAACCCTTTACTCTCCCCTCCCCCTCCCCCTTCCTTTGACTATGCACAGCTGTTTCATTTTTTCCTTCTCTTCTCTCTGCAACCCTACTGTGACTTGGACACAGCGACCGCCCCCACCCCGCCCCGTTCCTGCCCTTCTTCACCAAGGTTAAGCACACACGTCTCAGGACTTCTCAGAGGTCCTGGGTGCCCCGGTTCAAGTCGCATTCCCTTCTGGTCTACTCCAACTTTACCCCTGGGGAAGACACACCTTCCTGAGCTCCTGACTTCCGCCTCCTTTCATTACTCCTGGACATAAGCTCCCTGTGACTCAAGGACCACGGCATCTGGTGGAACCCCTCATCCTTTCTCAGAACATGGCATTACAATCTAGGAAACAGAATTCATAAAGGGCACTAATCACGCTGATATAACGTGTGTGTGTGTGTGTGTGTGTGTGTGTGTGTGTGTGTGTGTGTGTGTGTGTATGCGTAGATGCTCACATGTCACAGCGTGACTGAAGGTCAAAGACCAACTTGATGGGAGTCAATTTTTCCCATCTGCCGTGTGGGTCTTAGGGATTGAAGTTAGGTCACCAGGCTCAGTGACACGTACCTTTTGCCTGCTGAGCCATTTCACCAGACCAGACTGTGGGGACAGCTCAGTTGGCCGCTGCACAAGCATGAGCATCCAAGTTCAGATCCCCAGGCCCCTGGAGGACGCTGGGCATGGTGGAGAAGGCTTGCACTGGGGGGGGGGGGGGAGAGACAGGAGAGTCTTCAGAGTCCACAGGCCAGCAGCCAGCAGCCTTGTCTCATCCGTAAGCTCCAGAGTCCAGTGAGGGACTGTGTCTCAGAAAAATGAGGCAGATGGCTACTGACCAACAGCACAAAAGGGCTCTACACGTATGTACACACATGCATGCTCACCCGCACACACATGAACATGCATGCACACACATGTATGTTCACCTGCACACACATGAACATGCGCACGCAGGCATGGATGTCTGTACTGCATGGTTACAGCCCTTTTGCTTGTCATCAACCGTACAGTTCCCAACTGTTTGCATAGCGCTTGCATGGCTTTAGGCGTAGTGAGTTATTGGAGGTGATTTGAGGTCTACAGTGTGTGGAGGCTGCCATCCCTCAGGTTGGGAGCCATGAACCGTCTTATGGACACTGACACACCAGGGTGCCGGTATTCTCTCTGATTTATGACTTGGCAATACCTGGATCTCTTGATGAACAAGTGATGCTCTAATGTCGTGGAAGACCAGGCTGTCACAGGCCACTGAAGATGAGGAGGAAACTCTTCCCCACTGTGAGCCCCAAGGCAGGCAGAGCCAGGCCTCCTCCCAGGAGCTCATCCATGCTCTCCTTTTCATCCTAGACACCCTCCCACCAGCACCACCTCCAGCCACTGAGGCCCCCAAGCTGGAGCCACGCCTGGGGGAGCTGATGGTGACAGATGTGACCCCAGACTCTGTGGGCCTCTTGTGGACTGTCCCTGAGGGTGAATTTGACTCCTTCATGGTCCAGTACAAGGACAGAGACGGCCAGCCCCAAGTGGTGCCTGTGGCAGCAGATCAACGGGAGGTCACCATCCCAGGCCTGGAGCCCTCCCGCAAGTACAAGTTCCTGCTCTTCGGGCTCCGAGATGGGAGACGACGCGGTCAGGTCTCTGTGGAAACAAAGACAGGTGAGGCTCAGCCTGAGCCCCACCTGAGGCCCCAGCCTTCCCTGGAGTGTCTCTGACCTTCCTGCTGGCCTACTTTCCTGTTTGCCCATTCCATTCCGAGTCAGACAGGGACCCTACAGGGCAGGCTCTCAAATCTCCTCTCTTCCCCTCATTTGTTCTGCATGCTGGGCCTTCACGAGAAGATGGACTGGGGTGGAGGGGAACTAGGGCCTCCTGGGGAGGAGTAAAGGTGGCCAGGAGCCTCTCCTGCCACCCTGAGCCAGGTGGCACTGTCACAGCTGAGAGCTTTGGCTTGCCTCTCTGGCTCTTACCTGGCTCCCATCCCTCTGTCTCCACATCCACCTTCCTCTCTGACTTCTCTGAGCCTGGGAAAATGGAAACCAGACAAACCCTACCCAGCTGGGCCCTTTCTTGGGGTTTGGTCCAGGCAGTCTCCTGCCCCTTGGGACTCCCCGTTGCCAGAAGTCTCTCTCAATAACAATTCCGTCAGTGGCTTTGCTGTCCAGGAGGGCGGAGGGCCAGAGCCTTCCCAAGTTGGATGGCTCCTTAGGCAGTCATGGGATCTCTTTTCTGTTTGAGTTTCCTTGTGTGTGTGTCACTCCCAACACAAGCTCTTACAACAAGTAACAGTGCATGCCCCTTGCCTCCTCCAAGCCCCATGGCGTGGGTGTTGTGAGTCAGACGAGAAAGGAAATGGGAGGCTGAGCCACACTGAACCCCTCAGTAGCCCACCCCCCCCACTGGCCTGTCTCCCACTGAGAGCCTCTAACACTTTGGAATTCCCCAGGGGGCCAGTCAGGTCACTCAGCTGGGTTTCTGGGTAAGCTGTGCCCTGTGGAGAGAGGAGTCTCTAAGGGGTAGAAAGAGTCTAGGATAAAATGAGCAGGGAAGTTAGGGTGTCTGTGCAGGGGTGACTTAAGACAAAAGACCCACAGGGTCAAGTGGGGGAGGCTCTGGCTAGGTGGGGGAGCAGATGAGAGCGTGACAGAAGTGTCTGGGGACGCACTGACCACTTGGGCCTCTGGAGTTTTCCAGCCCTAGTGGGAGGTGGTCAAGAATCGTGGAAAAAATAAATACAAGAACCTTTCTTTCCCTGTGTCAGCCGCCCGAGATGACACCAGCCCAGGGGCCCTTCCCCGCCTTGGGGAGCTGTGGGTGACGGATCCTACTACAGATTCCCTTCGCCTGTCCTGGACGGTCCCCGAGGGCCACTTTGACTCTTTTATGGTCCAGTTCAAGGACAAAGGTGGGCCCCAGGTGTTGCCGGTAGACGGTCACGAGCGCACAGCCACCATCACAGCCCTGGACGCGGGCCGAAAGTACAGGTTCCTCCTCTATGGGCTTCAGGGAAAGAAGCGCTTTGGCCCCCTCACCACAGAGGGCACCACAGGTGAGTCTTCCTGGCAGGGTGCAGAGCATCAGGCCATCACTTGTGGCAACAAGCCCTCCTCTCCCTGCCCTGCCCTGCAAGGCCACAGCCCAGGACCATCTGAGCTATCTCTTGCCTCTGTCTCCATTTCAGAGCCCATGAATACTGTGGACCACACTGGAGTAAAGGCCCCACCAAAACCCCGACTAGGGGAGGAACTGCGGGTGACTAGTGTGACCCAAGACTCCGTGGACCTCTCTTGGACAGTCTCCGAGGGCCACTTTGACTCCTTTGTTGTCCAGTACAAGGACAGGGACGGGCAGTCCCAGGTGGTGCCTGTGGAGGGCGGCCACAGAGAGGTCAGGGTCTCTGGTCTCGACCCCGGCCATAGGTACAAGCTGCTACTCTATGGGCTCCGAGAAAGCAAACGTGTAGGGCCCCTTTCTGTCATCGCTGTGACCGGTGAGTAGGGCAGGTCCCCTTCCTTTGGTGTCCTTCTGTGGGGGAGTTAAACAGCTTTACCGAGTCATAATTTCCATACAGTGCCAGTGGGCTTTGGCTAATGTGTAAGTCACTAAACAACCATCACAGGGAGGTGCAAAGCCATCCCTTCAACCCCTGTACCCCCCCCCCGCCATCTGTTGGGGTCAAGGATGGCCTGGCCATCCATCCTTGGGGTCTTGACATGAGGTTTAGATTTAGATGGAGAGCCAGATGTGTATATATAGCTAAGCAGGGCCCAGTCAAGAGTTGGTCCCACCCATCAGCTCCAGTCTCCCATGTGGTGGGCTGATGCGTTGTTATAGTTGTGTGAAATCTCCTTCCAGGAGACAACTCTCCCTCAGGCTGGCACCAAGGTTTAACCTCCCCCCCCCCCACACCCCAAGGGATTCCTGGACAGTTTAACTTGGGGCAGGGTGGGGATTGTTTCAATGGTCTGATGGCCCATGAAGGGGCACAAGGTTCCATTAGGATGGCCTCACTCCTGCCAGGAGCTTACAAAGTCTTCTCCACACTCAGGTTCCCGGGGCCCTGGCAACCACTGGGATGCTTCCTGTCCTCTGGGGTTTGCCTCTCTGCATCTCATTTTAGACTCATGCAAAACACAGTGTTTTCGACTTAGTGTTTCGTACTTCAAATGCTTCTGTTAGCCCCCCCTTCCTCGGCCTTCCTCCCTTCTCCCTTCCATCCCTCCTTCCCCAAACCCCTCCCTCCCTCCCTCCAGCATAGGAGTCCAGCAACAGGGCAGTCACTTCCTCTCCCGTCTCTCTGAACCAGGCCCCAAAGAAGCAACAGAAGCGTGGACAGAGGTCCCCACAACTTCAACTCCCTCAGTTGAGCCCCACCTGAGGGAGCTGAGGGTGGAGGAGGCCACACCTCACAGCCTGCGTCTCTCCTGGGTGGTTACTGAGGGAGAATTTGACTCCTTCGAGGTCCAGTACACTGACAGAGACGGGAAACTCAAAGTGGTCAGTACAGAGGGTGACCAGAGTGACGTCATTCTTACTGGCCTGGAATCTGACCACAGATACCTGGTAACCCTGTATGGTTTCCATGATGGGCATCGTGTGGACTCTGCTCAAATTGAGGCCTTGACAGGTAAGTGGGAGACTAACCCTGATCTTCTGAACAGCTGCAAAGGTCCAGAGAGTTCAAGGTTCTCATGGTCACCCTCTCTCTCCATGTTCAGTGCCGTGGGAGGAGGAGGAGCCCACAGAGCCACCCACCGTGACGCCCAAGCCCAAGCCACACTTGGGGGAGCTGACTGTGACAGACGCCACCCCTGACTCCCTGAGCCTCTCCTGGACAGTCCCCGAGGGACAGTTTGACCAATTTGTGATCCAGTACAAGAACGGAGACGGGCAGCCCAAGGTGGTGCGGGTCCCAGGGCACGAGGACCAGGTCACCATCCCCGGCCTGGAGCCAGACCACAAGTACAAGATGAACCTGTATGGCATCCACAGTGGCCAGCGTGTGGGCCCCGTGTCTGTTGTCGGGGTGACGGGTGAGTGGACCTGGGACCCTCAGTGGGAGGTGACTTTCAGGATAGGTGAGCTGGGATTGATTGGTGAATAATGATTGATGGCCCAGAAGTGGCCAGTATCAAGGTTGGCTGTAGCCTGTGAGTCCCTCCTATGGCTGCTTATCTGCCCGGGCCGGGGCCTCCACACATGCCTCTACTGTGCTGATAGCTGCTCAGGTCACCCTAAAAGCTTAAGCATGTTGGGCAGCTGACCAGGACCACCAGGCCCTGACATTGGGACCTCCCTGGTAGCCATAGCTTCTCCTTAGAAGCCAGGGACACCACCTGGTGACCCTGCCTCACCTCTCTGCCTTTCTCAGCTGCAGAGGAAGAGACCCCCAGCCCCACAGAGCCCAGCACAGAGGCCCCAGAGCCCCGAGAGGAGCCGCTCCTGGGAGAGCTGACTGTGACAGGATCCTCCCCAGACTCCCTGAGCCTGTCCTGGACCGTAACACAGTGAGACTTTGACTCCTTCACTGTGCAGTACAAGGACAGTGATGGGCGTCCTCAGGTGGTGCGTGTGGGGGGCCAGGAGAGGGAGGCCACCGTGAGAGACCTGGAGCCTGGGCGCAAATACAAGATGAACCTGTATGGACTCCATGAGGGTCAGCGTGTGGGCCCCGTGTCCACTGTGGGCGTGACCGGTGAGTGGATAGAGTCCTCTACTTCTCAGGCAGTAGAGCCCTCACTATCTCCTACAGCAGAGACACAGGACTCCAAAACTCCCCAGCCTCTAAGGCATCTCTGACCTCCAACGCCTTAGGTCAAATGGGATCTAGGACAGGGAGGCCTGGAGGAGGACTGCCCATTAAAGATGAGGGAGGCCTGGAGGAGTCTCTGGGTTCTGAGACCTCTGGAGCATATTTTAGGCTCTCTGCTTTTTCCCACGGACTCTAGAGAGAAACCTGGGATTGGAACAAATTCCATGAAATATCAGCAAATCCTGTCCACAAATGATTGTTTAAGAAATTTCCAAAGGTTGGGGCTTAAAGAGATGGCTCAGTGGTTTAGAGCAGTTGTTGTCCAGGCTCATTTCTCAGCATCTACATGGTGGCTACAACCATTTGTAACTAACCACAGGGCATCTGATACCCGGGTCTGGCCTCCAAGGGCACCGAGCACCCAGGTGGTACATAGACATATTTGCAGGCAAGCACTCACACCTAAATTAAAATGAGTAAGTCTAATAAAAAAATTCCAGAGGATACAGGAGAAAGGATATAACGAGGCCCATGTATCCCTGTCTGCTTCAGTCAGGTGCTCACTGGCCTGTGGCCTACCTGTGTCCCACCCTCTCCCAACCTCCCCCTGAGGGAAAAGTCTTCATTAGCAGCTGCATTTTGACATAACTTAAGTGTTGCAGCATTCACCTGTGTGGGGGGTACCACCTAACACTTAGCACCCTGACCTCACAGGAACCTCCATAGTCTAAGTTCAGGAGAGTTTTTGACATCCCCAGTGAAAGCTTAGGTCTGGCCAGGAGTGTACACACACCTGAAACCCTGGGAAGGTGACCAAGGCAGGAAGGTCAGGAGTTAGTTCATTCTGCTGTATCTATTCAACTCAAGACTAACTGAGCTGTATGCCACCAAGTCTACAAACAAACAAACAAACAAACAAAAACACAAATATTGAAGTATGTGCATACAGCATGCAAAGGCCTTGAGCCACAAGGTGGCCTGATGTGTCTGAGAGCCCCAGGGAGACCACTGAAAGGCTTTGGTGATTACAAACGGGAAGCAAGAGTGACCAGGTCTACATGCAGCCTTCTGACCCATATGCCAGAGAGCTGGGATTGAGAACTCCTTCCAGACACAGCCAAGATTCTGTTTCACACCTTCCGCAGACCCTGAGGAAGATGCCCCTTCCCTGAAGCCACGCCTGGAGGAGCTGACTGTGACAGACGCCACCCCTGACTCCCTGAGCCTCTCCTGGACAGTCCCCGAGGGACAGTTTGACCACTTCCTGGTGCAGTACAGGAACGGGGATGGGCAGCCCAAGGTGGTGCGGGTCCCAGGGCATGAGGACCAGGTCACCATCCCCGGCCTGGAGCCAGACCACAAGTACAAGATGAACCTGTATGGCATCCACAATGGCCAGCGTGTGGGTCCTGTGTCTGTTGTCGGGGTGACGGGTGAGTGACCTGTGGGAGTCCAGGGTGGGACCAAGGGAAGGTGACCCTCAGCTCTTCAGTGATGTGAGCAGGGATTTGGACCCTGGAGGGGTCAGTACCCTCGTCCTGCCACGGTCAAGGCTGTGGCCTACAAACTGGCCTGTCCTCCTGGGCAGCAGGGTCAGGAGAACAGCACTGGGGAGGCAGAGGCAGGCGGATCTCTTGATGTCCAGGGCAAACTTCGCTGTGCCATTGCTGTCCAGGTCCCCTCAGCTGACCCAGGAGCTTGGGCATGGTGGCCAGCAGTCAGCTGACCAGGGCCACCAGGCCCAAGGTGGGGGGGACATCTCTGAACTAACATTGGGACCTCCCTGGTAGCCATAGCTTCTCCTCAGAAGCCAAGGACACCGGCTGGGGACCCTGCCTCACCTCTCTGCCTCCTTCTCAGCTGCAGAGGAAGAGACCCCCAGCCCCACAGAGCCCAGCACAGAGGCCCCAGAGCCCCGCGAGGAGCCGCTCCTGGGAGAGCTGACTGTGACAGGATCCTCCCCAGACTCCCTGAGCCTCTCCTGGACCGTCCCCCAGGGAGACTTTGACTCCTTCACTGTGCAGTACAAGGACAGTGATGGGCGTCCCCAGGTGGTGCGTGTCGGGGGCCAGGAGAGGGAGGCCACCGTGAGAGACCTGGAGCCTGGGCGCAAATACAAGATGAACCTGTATGGACTCCATGATGGTCAGCGTGTGGGCCCCGTGTCCACCGTGGGCGTGACTGGTGAGTGTGAACTGGGTCTTTAGGGTTGTGTCTCCTTCAGTCGGTATTGGTTACCTTCTTTGTTGTTTTCCCAATCCCACAAGGCCAGGATTTGGCTCTCCTTTCAGAGCAACCTTGGCCTTTGCTCACCAGCAGCCTCTTCCCCCAGAGGGCGAAACATCACACACACAGCAAGCCACCTTCCAGTGTTTTCCTGTTCTTCTTCCCTAATTTCAGGCGTCTTTGTTATAGTCACACTCACACTCATAGACAGATGACCAACCCAACAGTGTACTCTCTAGGGGTGACTCCGTGACATAAGCAGCATGTGTACCTGAAGATGCTTTACCGTGGGGTCACACACGGTTCAGAAGTTAAGGCTGCTCTTGCAAATGACAAGTGCCCATGTCAGGCAGATCACACCTGCTTGCAAATCCAGCCCCAGGAGGATCTGATGTCTCTGGCCACACACTCGCGCACACACGTGTGCGCGTGCGCACACGCGCGCGCGCGCGCGCGCACACACACACACACACACACAAACACTGAGAGAAGAAAGAGAGAGAGAGAGACAGGCAAGCACCCCACATACATGTGATTAAAAATGAAAATAAAAAACATTTGAGGCTGGTGGGGTTGGTGCACATCTTTGATCCCAGCACTCGGGAGGCAGAGGCAGGGGGATCTCTGTGAGTTTGAGACCAGCCTGCTCTACAAGAGCTAGTTCCAGGACAGCCCCCAAAGCCACAGAGAAACCCTGTCTTAAAAAAGAAAACAAAACAAAAAAAATTTTTGAGACAGGGTTACTCTGTGTAGCTCTGGCTGTCCTAACTCTGTAGACCAGGCTGGCCATGAACTCAGACATCTGCCTGTCTCTTCCTCCTGAGCACTGGCATTAAAGGCATGTTATCAATACCGACCATCTTTAAAAAACAAATTCTCTGAAAAGAAAAAGTTTTTACTCTAAAACCATTTCATAATTGTTCTACTGAAAAATACAGAACTCAGCTGGATGTGGTGGCCCAAGCCTTTAATCCCAACATTGGAGAGGCTGAAGCAGGCAGATCTCTGTGATGTCCAGGGCAGCCTGGACTACAGAGGGATATCCTGTCTCAATAAACAAAGCCACACAGAGCTGAATTACGTCCTGGTCATGGAAGCAGAGATCTGAGTCCAATCTCCAGGATTCACATAAAAAGAGGTGGGCAGGATTGCACATGCCTGGAGTCCCGGTGCTGGGGAGGTAAAGGCAGGAAGGTCCCCAGTGCTCTCTGGTCAGCTGGCCTAGACAAGTTGGTGGCCAGGGAGAGACCATGTGCTGGTGGTTCATGCTTGTGGAACAACAGCCATGCTTGTTCTCAGGCACACACACACACACACACACACACACCCATCAACCATTTCAGTCCCTTGATGGACTTGTGCTGTGATGTCATTGTTGGGTGGTGGTGAGAGACAGGAATGTGCATTTGGTGGAGGAAGTAGTTTATTGGGGACTTTTTCTTGGACCTATCTCTTGGCCTGGACCCTTCCTGGATTCCACCTCCCTCTTTCCTGTCCCACCACGCCCTCCTCCCCAACACAAAGGACCAACACTCCCCCCCAAAATAAAAACCAAGATGAGGGAGAGAAAAGGGGGCAGCAGAGCCCAAAGACTCCCCATTGGGTGCTAATCACAACCAGTTGACAATACCCGACACGGCGCCCACGGCGGTGTGCTTTGTAAGATGGAATGCAGTGTTCTGCACATTGCTGGGGTGCCTCTTTTTTTTTCTTCCTGTTTTAGTCTGTTCTGCATTGTGTGAATGTTCCAACATGGCAAGCATTTCTTTCCCCCTCCACGCATTCCTTTTATAATCACAGAAAAACAGGAAAATGCCGCGCCTCTCCCTAGCACCCCATCTGTCTTCCCTGTCGCCCCGGCAACGCAGTTCGTTTCTAATTATGAGAAAATTAAATTTGCGAGTCCCTAAGCAGCAAGGGGACAGGTGAGTCACAGGTGCAGTCAGGTCCCTGGGTGTTAGTCAGGCAGCTTCCCAGGGCTTCTCAAGAGCAGGCCAGAGCTGGATAGACCCCTCGTCAGGGACACTGTGGTAGGGCAAGTCAAGTCACTCAGCCACAGAGGGGGCAGCTTGTGAGTCTCCTGTGCCCTGGTGACTGTCTAGGTGGAGGAATCATTATCTCACAGTCTCTCTGACTTGACAGGTCTTGGTTCTGTACATGCTCCAGAAAACTGCAGGGTGTGGGGTGTGGGGAGAACTGGGGAACCGCTGGAGAGTTTACAGCCTGGGGTGAGGCACTAATCCTCACCCACAGCTGTTTCCTGTCTGGTTACCTCCTGCCATTCCTCATAAGGGCCATTCTCAACTCACAGCGAGCAGAGAGGGCAGTGAGGGACCCATGGCCCCTGCTCTTCTGTATCCCTGGTCCCCAGGTCCTTGCCCCCCCTTTCCATCTGCGTCAGTGCCCATTCTCAGCTCCCACTCACCTCTCGATGTCCTGAGTCAATCATTTCTTCTTACGCCTGTATTTCTGCAGTGTGAGGAACATGGCAGCCATGTGCAAAACTTGGAAGCAAGTAAAAAGCTTGGTTTAGCTTTGACCCAACAACCGCCATTAGTAACTGTGAGTTCTTGACTGTCCTGTGTGAAGCTCTGGGTTCCATGTCTAGCACCATGAACAAAGCCAAACCAAAAGTCAACAGTGTAAGTGAGCCCCCTAACAAAACCAAAGCAAAAGTCAATGGTGTAAGTGAGCCCCCTAACAAAACCAAACCAAAAGTCAATGGTGTAAGTGAGCCCCCTAACAAAACCAAACCAAAAGTCAATGGTGTAAGTGAGCCCCCTAACAAAACCAAACCAAAAGTCAATGGTGTAAGTGAGCCCCCCTAACAAAACCAAACTAAAAGCTAATGGTGTGAGCCCCCTTAACAAAACAAAACTAAAAGTCAATAGTGTAAGCCCCACTAACAAAACCAAACCAAAAGCCAATGGTGTAAGTGAGCCCCTCTTCTGCTTTCCCTGTGCAGCTGGCTCTTACTCTCTCGAGTGCTGGTTGGACGGTAGTCATTTACCTTGTGGCTACACGGTTTGCATTAATCATCATTTTAATGGTTATTTGATGCTTCCCGGTGAAAGCCTGGCAACGAAACCAATCTTCTGTTACGGGTCATTTGGGTCCTGACACATTTTGCTGTCATGAATAATCTCATTATGAATTCTTCCATGCTGAAACTTTTTCCTGCTTTTAATAATTTTCTTGGGATAAGTGCCCAGAAATGGGATTACTGGGTCAAAGGAAGTGAGCACTTATTTTGGCTCCTGACACACATGGCTTAGTTGAAGGTGTGTGACAGAGCAGCCTGAGTATCAGACAGAACAGCAGGGCTGGTTCAATCCTCTCCAGCCTGCAGTGACCAGACAACCACCGTGAGGCCTCATAGTCCCCCAGCTCCTGCTTGAGGAAGTTTATCTGCTGAGTTCCCTTAGCATCTGTGTGGTCCCAATTCTTCTGCCAGGTCAGAGGACCCTGAGAAGAGACCCCTGTACAGAGGCTCCCAAATACCCAGAGGAGCTGCTCCCAGAAGATCCAATAATGACAGGATCCAACCCCCAGACTCCCTGAGCCTCTCCTGAACTGACACCTTGACTCTTCACAGGACAGGGATGTTGGGGACCAGGCGAAGTACTGTGGGGGACCTGGAGCCCTGATTACAAGTACAGAACATACCTGTATGGGCTCCATTTGGGGCATTGGGTTGGCCAATGTCCATCATATGTGCAGCTGACCTGGACTCAGAAATCATAACCAGCTTCCTGGAAGTGTCTGTTCTTTAGTCATCAGGGGCTTTCTACAAAGCAGGTGGGGGTACGGTAGGTCATGCAGTGTCTCCACAGAGCAGGTGGGGGTACAGCAGGCCATTCAGGGTCTCCACAGAGCAGGTGGGGGTGCGGTAGGTCATCCAGGGTCTCCACAGAGCAGGTCAGGGTAGGATGGGGCATGCAGGGTCTCCACAGAGCAGGTCAGGGTAGGATGGGGCATGCAGGGTCTCCACAGAGCAGGTGGGGGTACGGTAGGTCATGCAGGGTCTCCACAGAGCAGGTGGGGGTACGGTAGGCCATCCAGGGTCTCCACAGAGCAGGTCAGGGTACGGTAGGTCATCCAGGATCTCCACAGAGCAGGTCAGGGTACGGTAGGTCATGCAGGGTCTCCACAGAGCAGGTGGGGGTACGGTAGGTCATGCAGGGTCTCCACAGAGCAGGTGGGGGTACAGTAGGCCATCCAGGGTCTCCACAGAGCAGGTCGGGGTACAGTAGGCCATCCAGGGTCTCCACAGAGCAGGTCGGGGTACGGTAGGCCATCCAGGGTCTCCACAGTCTGCATTCTTATCAAGACGAGGCATTAGCCTCACTCTGGTGATAAGAACGTGATATAACCAACTGATAAAAGTTTTGCTTTGGCTTGTTTTTGGTGGGTTGGCCCTGTTCCTTCGGAGCCTGTTATAGAGCAGCTCATCATAGGAGGCCAGACAAAAGCACTCAGCCTCACTGTCCTCTTCAAGGGCACACCCTAAGGGACACCAGGAACTTCCTCCAGGCCACACCTCTTAAGGGATCCTCTTCCTCCTGCCTCAACCACCCTGGAGACCAGTCACGTGTAGGCATCTGAGGGACAGGTGAACCTGACTGGCGGGGCCAGTGCACAGCTTAGCCTTGAGTAGCACAGCTCCTCACCACAAAGGTGTCGGCGCTCCTGGGGAACATGTGACCAGCAGCCTTCTTGTCCTCCCAGGGGCTCTGTCACTATGGGAACAGTGAGGGTATGCTGGGATGCAGTCTTAACTATACACCTTACCAGTGTAGCAACCAGGTTACATACAAGGGGAACCTTGAGCCTGGAAGATTGATCGGTTCATAGCCATACCAAACATGAGCTTGTGGTAGAGAGGACAAGACAGGGCCTGGCAAGGGACACTTAAATCAGTCTGCTCACAGGGAACCACTGAGACCTGAAGTCTAAGAGGCACAAGTTTGGTGACAGCTTTAGAAAGAGTGAGTCCAGACTGGTGCAAAGAGCAGGAGGCTAGAAAAAGCATGGTCCAGAAGGAGCCCAAGGATGTGGTGAGATGCCCTGAGAAGGACAGGCTGGGCTTAAGACACGGTGGGGGCAGCTCAGGAAGCCTGGGTTCTGTGCTGAATGCTGGCATCTGGCATCAAAAGACGGGTATATGCAGCAGAGCTTGGGCTGCAAGGCTAAGCAAGACAAGGAGGGAGCAGCCTAGAGGCAGGGCTGGGTAGTGGGGGATGGTGGCCCAAGCAGGGGTCCTAGGCTGGTGAGTGAGGTAGCCAGGAGGAGTTTAGCAAAAGTCTGGGGCACTCCAAGTCTGGAGGCAGCTGGGCTGGGGCAGGTGCACTTTCAGATTGGGGGGGAAGATATGAGCCCAGTGAAGAGGGAGATGGCAAGGAGAGCCAGGTCAGGGAGGCTCTGAGTAGTGACCATGTGGGGCCATGAAGAGCTGATGCTGAAGGGGAAGTAAGTGGATGTTCCCAGATGGAAGGAGAGGAAGTGTAGGCTGGGTACTAAATGACAGCGTGGAAAGAGCAGAGGCCAGTGTCACTCTCATCTCCAGGGCTTTGCTATTTGTTTTTAACTCATTTGTTCTGTTAATTTTTAACTCATTTATTTTATTAATTGTTAATATGATGTTTTGAGACAGGGTCTTACCTTGTGGCCCTGGCTGTTGTGGAACTCACTATGCAGATCAGGCTGGCCTCGAACTCACAGAGATCCACCTGCTTCTGCCTAGTGATGGGTTTACAGGCCTGTGACCCCACACCCCACAAGGCTTTGTTTTTATAAATGGTCCTTTGCATGGGAACTAAGGACAGGGAAGACCTAACCTGTCCCTGTGTTTGTGTTTAGATCCAGAGGAGGAAACCACGACCACACAGGTGGTGCCTACCATGACCACCAAGCCTCCTCCAGAGAGGCCACGCCTTGGAGAGCTGACTGTGGCAGACGCCACCCCTGACTCCCTGAGCCTCTCCTGGACAGTCCCCGAGGGACAGTTTGACCACTTCCTGGTCCAGTACAGGAACGGGGATGGGCAGCCCAAGGTGGTGCGGGTCCCAGGGCACGAGGACCAGGTCACCATCCCCGGCCTGGAGCCAGACCACAAGTACAAGATGAACCTGTATGGCATCCACAGTGGCCAGCGTGTGGGCCCCGTGTCTGTTGTCGGGGTGACGGGTGAGTGGACTGTGGGAGTCCAGGGTGGGATCCACCAAGAAATAGAACCTGCAGCTCTCTGGAGTCTAGTAACTGGGGAATAGTGGCCAAGGATTGGTCAGTCTCCCAGGTCTGTTTTGGCTGAAGCTATGGCTTACTATTGTGTGCCCACCCTGGGACTGGCCGGTCTCCCTAGGCAGCAGGGCCACAGAGGCCTTCTCTGTTGGTGCTGTCCAGGTCCCCTCAGCTGACCCAGGAGCTTGGGCATGCTGCCCCCTTCTCAGCTGCAGAAGAAGAGACCCCCAGCCCCACAGAGCCCAGCACAGAGGCCCCAGAGCCCCGCGAGGAGCCGCTCCTGGGAGAGCTGACTGGGACAACACTCCCTGAGCCTCTCCTGGACCGTCCCCCAGGGAGACTTTGACTCCTTCACTGTGCAGTACAAGGACAGTGATGGGCGTCCCCAGGTGGTGCGTGTCGGGGGCCAGGAGAGGGAGGCCACCGTGAGAGACCTGGAGCCTGGGCGCAAATACAAGATGAACCTGTATGGACTCCATGATGGTCAGCGTGTGGGCCCCGTGTCCACCGTGGGCGTGACCAGTGAGTGTCAGATGGGTCTGTGAGCGATGACCCCATTCTCATTCCTTTCTCTACCATCTTTGTGTAACAGTCGTTCTTACAACAGCAAGGCTGTGTGAGCACTTCAGGTTTCCTGGGGATGGATATTGTTTAATCTGGATAGGACACTAACAACAAGCAAAGTATTCCAGACAAGCCCGACATACTGAATTATTGGTTTATTATTATTACATATGAGAAAACGGGTGAAGGGTTACCTGCAGAAACATGGGTGACCCAAATGCAGGTGTATTATACAAAAGCTGACCTCAACATGGATAATGACTCAGAAAAGATCAATTCTTGGAGCTTTCTCCAGCTCTCCTGCAAATAACTGCTAACCTTTAGCTAGTGTTGGGACAGACTGTGAGTTTTGTAAGTTTCAGGAGCTTCCTTAGACTTGTGGATTTTCTTTACTTCCTGAGTCTTTTAAGCTCTGATTACTTCCTGGATGTTTTGCTTTCTTTTGTTTTTGAAACGGGGCCTCTGTAGATAGCCATGGCTGTCTTGGAACTTACTATGTAGACCTGGAACTCACAGAGATCTGCTTGCCTCTGCCTCTCAAGTGCTGTATGTAATTAAAGGCACACACCACCACACCTGGCTACTACTAATGAGCTTTCCTCAGAGAGGCAATGTGTCAGTTTTTAGGAAATAGATACACAATGCTGTGATCCCGCCTTTGTCTTTTAAATTTTTCCCACTTTTCTGTAGTGTTGCCTGAGCCTTTTCTTCCATCTATTGCCGAGTATTGGACCATTGTGACACAGCAACTGCCATTTAGTTTCAGTACCTTCAGTTATGAGTCTCTACAGTACACCTCTAATTACAAGGAACACATTCCTTCCACAATTAATTGGCGTTGGTAGCAGCAGTAATCCGTGAGTGTAGACACGGGTATTTAGAAGGCAATTCGATGGGTGTATCATATCCATTTAATAAAGCAATGGCATTGCCTCCCCACGGGGGCCCCATGTCTTCTCCAGCCACAGGCTTCTGCCCTGGTGTGTAGTACAAGATGTGTGTCCCCTCCTGTGGAGCAGACTTTAAGTATGATTATTGTTGTGCCCATAGAAGTTGTGCCATAGCCGGGCGTTGGTGGCGCACGCCTTTAATCCCAGCACTTGGGAGGCAGAGGCAGGCAGATCTCTGTGAGTTTGAGACCAGCCTGGTCTACAAGAGCTAGTTCCAGGACAGCCTCCAAAGCCACAGAGAAACCCAGTCTCGAAAAGACCAAAAAAAAAAAGTTGTGCCATGGCTGTGCCAGCGGCCTCTTCTTGCCGGCACGGGGGGCTCTGTATTATTCATGGCCCATGGACAAGCAGGACTGTTGGTGATCATTTTCCCACAGCAGCTTGCCTGGTGCCCATCATGTAATACAAATGCAAACCAAAGGAAGGGACCTTCCAGTTCAGCCTCAATCTGATTTCTTCATGTTCTGCAACAAGCATTCAGTGTCTTCCGCAGTAGGGATTTAGCATCTACTCCAGTGTTGCAAACCACATCATTTCCCATAGCCTTATGGTCTGTGGGACTTCGGGGCCTCCTTCGCCTGAACAACTCACAGGAATGTAGCCCACTCCTTGCATCGGGGTTCTCATTCAACAGCCTTATAGTTTCTGGCAGTGCCCCCTCCCATTCGTACAGGGCACAATTCATGTCTCTCCTGTTCTTCAGACGATTTTATAGACACTTAACCTACCCAGAGACTAGCATGATGTCATCTGTGTCATCAATGCATTCATAGAGGTGGGCGCAATAGCAATGCAGGGTCCCAGATCCTTCCCATGACAGCCACGGGGGCACGCTCTGAAGAACCATGGTCAGCCATTCCAAATGGATGCAAACTGGCCCTAGGATCCAGAGCAAAGGCGGCACTAGTAAACAATCATTAGCAAATCTCAGCACAGTACAAAACGACCTCATGGTTTTCATGAATGGCTTTGTCAAGAGAGGGTCACTGATGGAATGTACGTTACCCTATCTGGCCTTCCATGAACTTTCCATGAACCACCCAGCCTCTTCATCCCAGGATGCTGTTGATGGTTCAAGACCACTGTGCATCTCTTTGCCTTTGATGGCCCTGAAGGTCCCAGCTCAGGCCCATGGCTGTACTCTGGCCTACCACGCCCGCCGCTGGAGCTGGGTCTTCAGCTCTGACAGGCCGCTGTCTTTTCATCAGCCACGTTTGCTGCTATGGTGGCTATTGGAGGGGCCCCAGGCTACTTAAACAATTTCTACCCCTAGCATGGATCCGTACCTTCTTGCAGGGGAGAAACGTGTGCTGCACACTCTGGAGGTGACGACCGTCCACCCCTAGGTCAAGTTTAACCTTTTTTTAAATTCATGCATGTTATGTATATGGGTGCTCAGTCTTCATGCACACCAGAAGAAGGAATCCGATCCCCTTACAGATGGTTGGGAGCCGCCATTTGATGCTGGGAACTGAACTCAGGTCCTCTGGAAGAGCAGCCGGTGCTCTTAACTGCTGAGCCGTCTCTCCAGCCCCAAGTTTAACCTTTTAATCTGCGCTGTCCTACAATTTCTGTCTTCTGTGACCTGCTTCTTGGGCTGTAGAGTCTACAGGAGGTCGCTAGCACAGCATCTGGCATTCTGTTAATCTTCCTGTGGGAACTGTCTGTTCACTAATCCTGTCACGCTTCTCTTTGAGTGACTGGGACAGATTCTTTGGTCTGCCCTGCCTTTCTCTCACTTCCTCTCGATCGATGGCAGCTGTGTTTTATAAAGACAGTTGACATGCTGCTCGGAGTCAGACTGGGTTCCCAGAGACTCTGAGTCATTGTGTCATATCCCATCCCAGTCCCAGCAAGCCGCTGAAGTGCTGTGTAGCTGGGGCTGGCCCAGAACTTGCTATACAGACCAGGCTAGCCTCAAACTCACCGAGATTCGCCTGCCTTGGCTTCTGCAGCACCCAGATTAAAGATGCACTGTCTCGTCTGGCTGCCGGTCTCTTTCTTAGCTTTCCCAAGAATATGATTTTGTCTGACTTCATGAATTGGGCATCTATGTTGCCTCTCTCCTTCCCAGTTCCCTCCAGCAACACCTGCTCCCCTGTTGTCTTTAATTAAGTCCTTATATTCATGGGACTTAGTGTCCCTATTGACTCATAGGGGCCTTTCACCAGGGACTGATTTTCCCCGCTTTGCCTCTGGTTATGCAGCCTTTGTCTCACGGAGGGATGGGCTCTTATGATACTCAGTTTCTCCAGCTCTGCTAAGATTAGTCCCATCTGCCTCTATTTCACAGCCACGCCAGCCAGCGAGGCTCTCGGAGGCTCCTTCATTGTTTTCAGCTTGAAAGTCTTTCCCAATTCATGCTGGCTGCATGCTGAGTGTGCCCTGAACATCATAGTTTCCCTGTACTCAGTCATTACTGATGCCCCGTCTGCATATGGGATCGTGGATTTCTCTTCCTCTCCTCATGGTCAGACCTCCCCCCTTAATTATCCAATTACCCAAGGGTTCCAAGACTTTGGCTCCTAGGACAGGCTCTGTAGCCTGTGTTTGACCTGCACTCTCTTCACCTTGCATCCTTCCCGCTTCAAGAAACAGCAAGCTAATACTCCTGTCTGTCTTCTTGTCTCTGCTTCCCAAACCAGAGGCTCATGAGCACATAGTACCCATATGACTCTCCCCGCTTTGCAATTCCTCTCTTACATGGGTACACTCTTTCTGAGAAGGCAGCCAGATCTCAGTTTTACATCTTTGCCTACAGCAAGGGTCAAACAGCTGACACCATAACTTGCTAACCATCCTGTCCTCTATGTGCTACTTTTAGGGATTGCAATGCACCCTCTAGTCCATTTGCTGTTTTGGAGATGTCCTTACATCTGTGTAGTATAACCCATTCATCACCCATATCCAGTTTAGGAAAATGGACACCCCAAGATTCTCACTTGGCCTGCTTGGGTCGCATGCCCTATCTCCTATAGCAGGGAGGTTCACCATCCCATGGCACATGGGAAAGGTGGCCGTATCCAGGTCTCCCCGGCAGATCCTAGGTGCATGCCTTACCATCTGTTGCCGTGGTCGCATACCCTCACTTCCCTAACTACCTTGGGTTCTGTTAGTTTATATCCCAGCGCCAATTACATTGGTTGACTTTCTTGAGGGCAACTGAACATCTATTCCTGCCAGATGAGGCACTAAAAGCAGACCCAAGAAATAACTCCATCCATGTCTGGCTCAGTGAACAAACGTATTCCCTGGGGTCACTTTCAGGAATGTGGTGAGCCTTACAGGAGTGCAGGTAGCTCAGAGGCAGCTGCCTCACTGCAGACCTAACTCCAACACTGGTTACAGCGCCCAAAAGCTCTTCCCTGGTGCTGTAATTTAAGAAAAGTGGCACAAGAGAAAAACATGCCATGCGACAGGGATTGAACAGAGGGTTTTTGTTTGTTTGTTTTTTGTTTTTGTTTTTAATTAGGGAAAGGGAAAGAGGGAGACCATTCTCCAGAGACAGGAGCAGCAGGAGAGAGGATAAAGGAAAGGGGGGGAGAGGGAGGGAACAGAGTGGGGGAGGGAGGAGGTGGGCAGGGCCCTTTTAAAAGGGAACTAGTGAATGTGCACAGGTGGTGCTCTTAGTGGCTGCAGCTGAGGTCGGATCCCCAAGGCCAGGCCAGTACAGATGCCTGAGTACTAACACCTGGAACCCCTGCTTAGCGTGGGCTGGCTGAGACCTTATAAACCCTGTAAGCCTCAGGAATTTCCTGAGAGAGACTTGAGGGCATGTTTCAGATGGGAGGAAGCCACCCCATACAGACACATCAGTGCATCCGGAGCCTGCTGTTCTCTTCCTAACAGAGTCCTAAGAACCAAGAGGCCCCACAGCAGAGGCATCGGCCTTGGGACTTGTGGCTGAGCGAGTGTGAGCCTCTGATTCCTCACAGCATCCAGCCTATGAAGGGACAGCAGAGGCTAGCGTTTTCACTGTGCACCTATAAACCCAACTTTATTTTATCTTAATTTATTTATTATTGCAATTTTCAACTTTCATTGTCATGCATCAATTCATTCATTCCACAAAGAACTCGCGTCCCCTGATCTGGGCACCTTGTAGCTGAGTATCAGTTGTCATCAGCCAGAGACCTCCAACAACTCATCCAGAATGATGGCATCTGAGGGGGAGGTCGGGTTTCTAGTACGATGTTCCGAGCCTGTTTGGAGCAAAGTCCTGAAGCCAGTGAGGAAGGAAATGGCAAGGAGAGGTAGCGCAGAGAGGCCCGGGGCAGTGGCCTCTTGGGACCTGCTCAAACGTGGCAGGTGCTATAGGAAGAGGACAAGTCGTGTGTGGATAGAGGAGGAGGGGAAAGTCTAGGATGGGTGCCAGGAATGGCAGTGTAGACGACACAGAGAAGACAGGTAGTGGGCCCTGTGGCCAGGATCACTTTGCTCTTCAGGGTTTCATTTTATAAATACCCATTTATGTGGAAACTGAGGACAGGAAAGACCTAACCTGTCCCTATGGTGTGTCCAGGTCCGGAGGAGGAAACCACAACCACGCAGGTGGTGCCCACCACAACTCCTACGAAACCCATCCTGGGAGAGCTGACTGTGACAGACGCCACCCCTGACTCCCTGAGGCTCTCCTGGACAGTCCCCGAGGGACAGTTTGACCACTTCCTGGTCCAGTACAGGAACGGGGATGGGCAGCCCAAGGTGGTGCGGGTCCCAGGGCACGAGGACCAGGTCACCATCCCCGGCCTGGAGCCAGACCACAAGTACAAGATGAACCTGTATGGCATCCACAGTGGCCAGCGTGTGGGCCCCGTGTCTGTTGTCGGGGTGACGGGTGAGTGGACCTGGGACCCTCAGGATGAGACCAGTGGGAGGTGGACTTGGGATTGGTGGCTGGATGCTGTTAATACCCAGGATCTGCTCAGCACCACAGACCTGCTTTGCTGATGCTGTGGTCTGCCTTTGTGTGCCTTCTTCTGGGCTGGCCAGTCTCCCTGGGCGGCAGGGCTTTAGAGGACTTTGCTGGGATGGTGGCTGTCCAGGTCCCCTCAGCTGACCCAGGGGCTTGGGCGTGGTGGTCAGCTGTCAGCTAAGCAGGGCACCAGGCTCCCTTGGTAATTATGGCTACTTTGTTGTCACTTGAGGACACCGGCTGGGGACCCTGCCTCACCTCTCTGCCTCCTTCTCAGCTGCAGAGGAAGAGACCCCCAGCCCCACAGAGCCCAGCACAGAGGCCCCAGAGCCCCGCGAGGAGCCGCTCCTGGGAGAGCTGACTGTGACAGGATCCTCCCCAGACTCCCTGAGCCTCTCCTGGACCGTCCCCCAGGGAGACTTTGACTCCTTCACTGTGCAGTACAAGGACAGTGATGGGCGTCCCCAGGTGGTGCGTGTCGGGGGCCAGGAGAGGGAGGCCACCGTGAGAGACCTGGAACCTGGGCACAAATACAAGATGAACCTGTATGGACTCCATCAGGGTCAGCGTGTGGGCCCCGTGTCCACTGTGGGCGTGACCGGTGAGTGTTAGTTGAGTTTGTGTGGGGAACCAGCCCCAAACCGCTCGTTCCCACGCATCTTCATGTACCTGTACCGTGCACCAAAGCTGCCCAGCCCTCCTGGTGTTGCCACACATCAGCCACGGACCCTGCAGTGTGTCCCGAGCCCACTGTTCTGTTTCTAAGAGGACCGTGGGAAACAAGCTGCCAGTTCATGGGTCAGCTCCGCAGCAGCAAAGCCCCAGAGCAGAGGTTTCCGCCCCTCTCTGGGGATGTGCTAGCAATACTCCTCACAGAGGGGCTCCATCCGTGTGAAGTCCTCCGACCCACTGAAGCATTGAAGAGAGTGGGTCCACAGAATTTAGTCTGCCTGTGTGCAAACTGCTTCAAGCCCTCGTTCCTTCTCTCCCCCTTCCCCCCTTCCTTTCTTCAGTTCTAAGCTTTTACTCACGTGCCTCAGTTCCCCGATGTGGGGACTGTGGGGCTGAATGTCAGATGGGGAGCCAGAGCTCCCCAAGATTCACCTGGAACGAACTGTGGGTTGAACCTGGAAGTGTGGGGCTCTGCGGGGACTCTGCTGAGTTAGCTGTGGTGTAAAAGCCTCAGCAAGTGGAGGTCAATTCTGAACTCCAGCAGTCCTCCATCACCCAGCGTGGTCACTGAGTCCCATCTGCGGGAAGGTGTCTAGAGGGACCACAAAGCCATAATTGTTAGAAGAGGCAGACGTCACTTATCACCTGGATGAGGGTGTTTGGTTGTTTTATAGCAAATGCTCTAGTGTGTCTGTGTGGAAATAGGACTCTAAGCTCGCCATCATGGCACCAGAGGGCCTTGTCTGCCGTCCGTGTTCTGTGCCATTGTCTGTGTTTGGCATAATTTCATGAGACAGAGCAGTACTGGGACAGCTCTGAGCTGACAGAGCCTAACAGCCCACAGGAGTCAGGGCTGTTGGTCTCTATTGGGGCAAAGCTTTGAGGGACCAGATGGATTTCACAGTCAGGGAACAGGCAGAAGGCCCAAAGCCATGGGCATAGAACATGGAGAACCTAGGGGCCAGAACAGGACCTGAAGAGACATCCAAACCAGCCTGCTCATGAGATCACTGCGACCTGAGGTCAAACAGGCATTGGCTTGGTAACAGGTTAGAGTGAAGAGTGTCAGGTCAGTGTTGGAGTGAAGAGTGTCAGGTCAGTGTTGAGGTGAAGAGTGTCAGGTCAGTGTTGAGGTGAAGAGTGTCAGGTCATTGTCCTGACTGTACAAAGAGCAGAAGGCTAGAAATAAGCTGGTCCACAAGGACCCAAGACTTTGTGTGATGTCCTCTGAGAGGTTGATGGAGAAGTGGTGGCAGCTCAGAAACCCAGAATTCCACCCAGGACTGGGTACCCGGTCCCATGCTGCACGCTGGCATCTGTCATTGGAAGCTCGCATTTGAAGCCTGGGCTTCCTCCTGACGCACAGCTGGCTAGGAGAGGAGGGGTGAACCTGAAGGCAGGAGATCAGACCTGGGTCAGCGCCCACCCGTGTGTGAGGCAGCCAGAGGCTGAGCACTGTGGTCACCAGCAGCTGGGACTCAGCCTGGGGGACGGGGTTTCCAAACATGACTGAGGTGAAGATCTAGGTCCAGTGAGGGAGCAGACAGCAAAGAGAGCCAGTGCAGGGAGGCCCAAGGCAGTGTGGAGCAGGAGCTGGAGAGAGGGAGAGGTCACATGGGTGCTGGCAGATGTCTGGGTGGGGTGCTAGGAATGGCAGTGTAGAAAGAACAGAAAAGATGTGGTGGTGCATTGTGGCTGAGAACTTTGTTTTTATAAATGCTTATTTACATTCTCAGCACAGAGAAGACCTAACTCTCCCTCCCCCCCCCCCCCCCCCCTCTCTCTCTATCTCTCTCTGTGTGTGTGTGTGTGTGTGTGTGTGTGTGTGTGTGTGTGTCTAACTCCAGAGGAGGAAGCTATGACCACACAGGTGGTGCCCACCATGACTCCTGAGCCTCCTCCTAAGAAGCCACGCCTGGGAGAGCTGACTGTGACAGACGCCACCCCCGACTCCCTGAGCCTCTCCTGGACAGTCCCCGAGGGACAGTTTGACCACTTCCTGGTCCAGTACAGGAACGGGGATGGGCAGCCCAAGGTGGTGCGGGTCCCAGGGCATGAGGACCAGGTCACCATCCCCGGCCTGGAGCCAGACCACAAGTACAAGATGAACCTGTATGGCATCCACAGTGGCCAGCGTGTGGGCCCCGTGTCTGTTGTCGGGGTGACGGGTGAGTGGACTGTGGGAGTCCAGGGTGGGATCCATCAAGAAATAGAACCTACAGCTCTCTGGAGTCTAGTAACTGGGGAATAGTGGCCAAGGATTGGTCAGTCTCCCAGGTCTGTTTTGGCTGAAGCTATGGCTTACTATTGTGTTGCCCACCCTGGGACTGGTCTGTCTCCCTAGGCAGCAGGGCCACAGAGGCCTTCTCTGTTGGTGCTGTCCAGGTCCCCTCAGCTGACCCAGGAGCTTGGGCATGGTGGCCAGCAGTCAGCTGACCAGGGCCACCAGGCCCAAGGTGGGGGGGACATCTCTGAACTAACATTGGGACCTCCCTGGTAGCCATAGCTTCTCCTCAGAAGCCAAGGACACCGGCTGGGGACCCTGCCTCACCTCTCTGCCTCCTTCTCAGCTGCAGAGGAAGAGACCCCCAGCCCCACAGAGCCCAGCACAGAGGCCCCAGAGCCCCGCGAGGAGCCGCTCCTGGGAGAGCTGACTGTGACAGGATCCTCCCCAGACTCCCTGAGCCTCTCCTGGACCGTCCCCCAGGGAGACTTTGACTCCTTCACTGTGCAGTACAAGGACAGTGATGGGCGTCCCCAGGTGGTGCGTGTCGGGGGCCAGGAGAGGGAGGCCACCGTGAGAGACCTGGAGCCTGGGCGCAAATACAAGATGAACCTGTATGGACTCCATGATGGTCAGCGGGTGGGCCCCGTGTCTGTTGTTGGGGTGACAGGTGAGTGAATCTGGGACCCTCAGGATGAGACCATTGGGAGGTGGACTTGGGATTGGTGGCTGGATGCTGTTAATACCCCAGATCTGCTCAGCACCACAGACCTGCTTTGCTGATGCTGTGGTCTGCCTTTGTGTGCCTTCTTCTGGGCTGGCCAGTCTCCCTGGGCGGCAGGGCTTTAGAGGACTTTGCTGGGATGGTGGCTGTCCAGGTCCCCTCAGCTGACCCAGGAGCTTGGGCATGGTGGCCAGCAGTCAGCTGACCAGGGCCACCAGGCCCAAGGTGGGGGGGACATCTCTGAACTAACATTGGGACCTCCCTGGTAGCCATAGCTTCTCCTCAGAAGCCAAGGACACCGGCTGGGGACCCTGCCTCACCTCTCTGCCTCCTTCTCAGCTGCAGAGGAAGAGACCCCCAGCCCCACAGAGCCCAGCACAGAGGCCCCAGAGCCCCGCGAGGAGCCGCTCCTGGGAGAGCTGACTGTGACAGGATCCTCCCCAGACTCCCTGAGCCTCTCCTGGACCGTCCCCCAGGGAGACTTTGACTCCTTCACTGTGCAGTACAAGGACAGTGATGGGCGTCCCCAGGTGGTGCGTGTCGGGGGCCAGGAGAGGGAGGCCACCGTGAGAGACCTGGAGCCTGGGCGCAAATACAAGATGAACCTGTATGGACTCCATGATGGTCAGCGTGTGGGCCCCGTGTCCACCGTGGGCGTGACCGGTGAGAGCTGGCCTCCTCCCCTCCCCCATGCATCCCAGCTCTTCCTCCAGCTCACACACCCAGAACGGAGTTTTCCACACAGCTCCCTCTTTCCTCCACTCCCGGACCTCACTGGATCCCTCATTCCTTCCTCTCCGGGTATTAGTGATTCCTAACATGCTCGGAATTTGGGCTACCTGGATCTGAATTGTCTGCCATTAGACTGTGTGGTTTTTCAAGCATTAGTTCCTGCAGCAAGGGGACAATCATGATGGCATCTGCTAAACCAGTGGTTCTCAACCTTCCTAATGCTGTGGACCTTTATTTATTTTTTATTTTTTTGAATTTTTTGTTTGTTTTGGGTTTTGGTTTTTTCGAGACAGGGTTTCTCTGTATTGTTTTAGAGCCTGTCCTGGAACTCACTCAGTAGACCAGGCTGACTTCGAACTCACAGAGATCCGCCTGCCTCTGCCTCCTCAGTGCTGGGATTAAAGGCATGTGCCACCAACGCCCAGCCTTTTTTGAAGTATTTATTTGTGATATATTATGTGTTCTAATTGCATGTATGCCTGCAGGCCAGCAGAGGGCACCAGATCACATTACAGATGGTTGTGAGCCACCATGTGGGTGCTGGGAATTGAACTCAGGTCATCTGGAAGAGCAGCCAGTGCTCTTAACCTCTGAGCCATCTCTCCAGCCCCACTGCAACCCTGCAATACAGTTCTTCATGTTGTGGTGACCCTCAACCGTAAAATTATTTTCATTGCTACTTCGTAACTGCAATTTTGCTACTTTGTTTTGTTTTTTGGCTTTTATTTATTTATTTATTTATTATGTATACAGTCTTCTTCTGCCTGCACACCAGCAGAGGGCACCAGATCTCATTCAGGGTGGTTGTGAGCCACCGTGTGGTTGCTGGGAATTGAACTCCGGAAGAACAGTCAGTGCTCTTAATCGCTGAGCCATCTCTCCAGCCCTGTTTTTTGGCTTTTTAAGACAAGATTTCTCTGTGTGGTCCTGGCTATCCTGAAACTCTCTCTATAGACCAGGCTGGCCTCAAACTCAGAGATCCCCCTGCCTCTGCCTCCTGAGTACTGGGATTAGGGGTGTGCGCCACCACCACCCAGATAATTTTGCTACTGTTATGAATCATAATGTAAACATTTTGGGAGATAAACAGTTGCTAAAAGGGTCAAGGCCCACAGGTTGAGAACCACTGTGTTAAACGTAGATACTCCTGTGTGTGAGCTGCCTCCAGCAGTTGCCTATGGCTGGGCTGGGCTGGGGTGGGGCGTTAGAAGAGGCTGTTCTGCAGACTAGGGGCAGCCTGGTCCCCCCAGCAGGTTCTGCCTGTACCCCTCAGCCTCCTCTGCTCTGTTGCAGCCCTCCTGCCCACAGAGCTCCCCACAGAGCCCCGCCTGGGGGACCTGGCTGTGGTAGAAGTGACGTCCAGCACTGTGCACCTGTCCTGGACGGTGGCCCGGGGCCCCTTCGACTCCTTCCTGGTCCAGTACAAGGATGCACAGGGGCAGCCCCAGACGGTGCCTGTGAGCAGAGACCTGGGTGAGGTCACCGTCTCAGGTTTGGACCCAGCCCGCAAGTACAAGTTTCTACTCTTTGGACTCCAGGGTGGGGAGCGCCACGGCCCTGTCTCCGTAGATGCAAAGACTGGTGAGTGAGGCCCTGGCACCGCTGGCCCTGCAACCCGCAGCGCCCTCTGCCCCCTAGTGGCAACTGTTGGAATTGCATGCTTCTGTGCCCCACATTCACTCGGGTCCTTCATTCACTCCCTTCATTCACTCCTTCCTGCTGACCTCATTACGGGGCAGGCACACCTGCTGCCCTTGCTGGAGGCTCTTTTATCCCGAGCCCTGCCCGATCACCCCCTCTGGCCACCAGGAACAGAGCCGCAGCCCACCCCTCCCTCCACCTCACCCCACCCCACCCCTGTGTCTGTGTCTGTGTACACTTTCTAAGCAGCTCCCTCTCCTCTCCAACCTCAGACACAAAGCTCCTTCCTCGTCTTGGGGAACTGACAATGACAGATGTGACCCAGAACTCCGTGGGTCTCTCCTGGACTGTCCCCGAGGGCGAGTTCGACTCCTTCCTAGTCCAGTACAAGGACAGGGGAGGGCAGCTCCAGGTGGTACCTGTGCCAGCAGACGAGCGTGAGGTCACCATCCCCAGCCTGGAGCCCAACAGAAAATACAAGTTTCTGCTGTATGGCCTGGCAGGCCGCAAACGGCTGGGCCCTGCCTCTGTGGAGGGCACCACAGGTGAGCCCTGGCCCCGCCTCCCACCAATGCACGGCTCTCAAGCTCAGGGCCTTCCAGGGACTCATCCTGAGAGTAAAGGTCCTCACAAAGGCAAGTCCCCGCTCTTGACTGGGCACAACCTCAGCATTTGATACACACCGTCCTCCCTTCCCTGACAACTGCCAAGAAAAGGGGCTTTTAGGCTGGGCTGACCTGGGTTCAAACCCAGACTCAGTCTTTGACAGCCACATGACATGGGTAAGCCATCTGATCTGCACCAAGGCTTCCCTACTGTGCCGGTGACTGGTAGTCCACTCCTCAGTGTGCCGGTGACCAGTACCTCGGCTGGCACCTACGCCCTTTTCCTCCCACCCCTGAGCCATGAGATGGAAAGGAAGGGCTTGGCTGCAGAAGACTATGGAAAAATCTGGTGTTTTTGTGCCCATGAGTCACCCCCAAGGAAGGGGTGGAGTAGGCCCATGACCCTGACCCCACTCCCAGGTCAATGAGTCACCCAGGCAGACATCAGGGCCCGAAGTCCTCAGATATCATAATTCTTCCCCCAAACCCTCATTACACAGGCTTGTCCAAGCATTGCCTGTCAACAGCCACCCTCATGCGGGCAGACTGTCTCCGTTGTGCCCTTGTTCTCTCACCTCTGCCCAGCCTGCTCCCAGGAAGAAGATGGGGGGCAGCCCGAGGCTGATGGCAGCTCCCCCATTTGAGAGTATTTCTCTGACACTCAGATGCCCCCGGAGCCTCAGTTCTGGCCACAGCCCCTGCCCTGAGGAAATGAAGACCTGTCTCTGCCCCCACCACTAGTCCTCTCTCATTGTGACCCTCTGTGTGGCCTGGCTCTTGACTGCAGCAAACAGGCAGGACCTCCAGAGACAAGACACTGCCCCTCAGTGCCCCACAGCAGGAGCACGCAGGCCTGGCTGTGTCCTTGGGTGTCTGTCTGTCCCTGAGGCCACTCATGGACCCTTCCCATTTCCGTGAGTCTCCAGGAATGGAGACTCTTAACTGAATTGTCCTCACCCTCTCCTCAGCACCCCTGGAGAAGGCACCACAGCCCCGCCTCGGTGAACTGTCAGTGACAGGAGAGACCCCTGACTCTCTGCGCCTCTTGTGGACGGTAGCACAGGGCCCCTTTGACTCCTTCCTGGTCCAGTACAGAGACAGGGATGGGCAGCTCCAGACGGTGGCCGCAGCTGCAGACCAGAATGAGGTCACCATAGAGGGTCTGCAGCCACGCAGGAAGTACAAGTTTCTGCTCTATGGGCTCGCTGGAGGCAAGCGCCTGGGACCCATCTCTGCCCTGGGAGTGACAGGTGAGGCTGCCCTGCCTAACCACAGGCCCAACGAGTCTGAAGACAAAGGGACTGACCACGGTGGATGGGTGGGAAGGGCAGGGGCCTGTCCAGAGCCTGTGCCCACCCCAGGTGCCGATCAGCCATTTGAAATAACAGGAGTCAGGTCAGACAGGGAGGAAAGGTCTTGGGGGGTTCCCCGCTCTCCTGACCCCACCGCTCCTCATGTGCGGCTCCCCACTGCCCTGTTGGGACAGCTCCGTCCCCTTGCTGCACAGGTACACACCCCCTTTCTAGGCAGCCAGGGTTGCTTCTCCAATGGAAAATCACTGGAAAGTCCAATGGGCAGAGGCCACTGACACCCACTTCAGATTGGCCAAGGACACAGGGCTAGTGTGACTTGCCAGACACGTACACTAGTCAGTGCCACCCTCGGCTGCTCTTAAAAGCATTGAGACAGGCGCTAGGGCAGGGTGAGGGCAGAGCCTGAAGGGCCACTGCTGGGGGCAGGGTGGGGTGCTGATATGCCAGAGGCTGGGAGAGGGGAAGTGAGTCCCTGGTCCAGACACAGCCAAGAGCTGAGGAAGGAACAACAGACACAGCAGCTTCCAAGGTAGGAGATCTGGGGACTGGGCTCAGAGAGGCCCCCCTGGGTGTCAGGATGTGATGCCAAGGCAGGGGTAAAACAAATTCAAGAACTGGAAGGTTCTAGATGATCCCCTGGTTCCTTCCTTTCCTCTCTTGGACTGCTCTGCCAGGACTGTGAGGTGTCTTCATCCCAGGCCGGCCACATAACCCTTCCTTTGAAGGGCAAGATGGGAAGGGCCGGCCCACACCGCCCAGTGAAGATTCTGCCCTGGTTTCTCCCATGCAGCCCCAGAAGAGGACATGTCAGCCCCAAGTCCCACTGAGCCCCCTGAAGCACCCCGTCTGGGGACGCTGACAGTGACCGAGGCAACCCCAGACTCCCTGCGCCTCTCCTGGGGTGTGGCCCGTGGGCCCTTTGAGTCCTTCGTGGTCCAGTACCAGGACACAGAGGGCCAGCGCCAGGCCCTGCTTGTTGATGGAGACCAGGACAAGGTCCTCATCTCAGGCCTGGAACCCAGCACTTCCTACAAGTTCTTCCTCTATGGCCTCCGTGAAGGGATGCGGCATGGACCCATCTCTGCAGAGGGCACCACAGGTGGGCCAGGCCTGGACTATTCTAGTTATCTGGGGGCTGGGAAGGGGGCATCCAGAAGTGGCTGCCACGGGGAAGGCAGAAGGAGGCACCCAGGAAAAGCTGAGGTAATTTGGTCACTTGCCCTACACAGATTCTCCTCTCCTCCCTTGTCGGGCATCCCTCGTGTGGCTCTGCTCCTCACTAGCCCAACTTTTCTGACCAACAGGGCCAGGGTACAATGACAGAAGGGACATGCCACAAGCCCTAGGGCTGGTATGTATCTGTCTCCAAAGTCTTTTCTTCTACCCACTTCCCACAGGTCCAGTTCCTGCTGGTCAGACCCCAGGGGACCCAGGGCCCCGCCTGTCCCAGCTGTCAGTGACAGATGTGACCACCAGTTCTCTGCGGCTAAATTGGGAGGCCCCACTCCGGGCCTTTGACACCTTCCTAATACGCTTTGGGGTCCCCTCGCCAAGTACCCTGGAGCCGTATCCTCGTCCTCTGGTCCAGCGAGAGCTGATGGTGCCAGGGACACAGCGCTCGGCTGTGCTTCGCGACCTACATCCTGGGACCCTGTACAGCCTGACTCTGTATGGGCTGCGTGGGCCGCACAAGGCAGACAGCATCCAGGGTACTGCCCGCACCCTCAGCCCAGGTGAGGGCCCACACTGGGCACCAAAGGGAGAGCATGTACTTGCAGAGTGGAACCCAGCACACAAAGGGGTCTGGCGAATGGGGGGACTTGAAGGCACCCAGAGAGTGACTTCTGTCCTGGGAACCTAGCAGAGAGGGACAGGGGCCTCTCTGGAGCCAGAGCACCCAGGGAGATAGAGCAGGGACCTGCCTATGCACACCCAGTCACCACTGGACCCCCTTACTGTCCTCAGTTCTGGAGAGCCCCCGTGACTTGCAATTCAGTGACATTGGGGAAACATCAGCCAGAGTCGACTGGGTGCCACCACCATCCAGGGTGGATAGCTTCAAACTTTCCTACCAACTAGCAGATGGAGGTGATGGCTCCTCTCCCCAATTCCCCCTCAGCTTTCCTCTCTTGCTCACCCCCACCCCTGCACACTGTCCACGCTCCAGCTGCTCTCAGGCCTCCGGGGTGACCCCCAGGCTCCACCCATGTTTGTAGGAGAGCCACAGAGTGTGTTAGTGGACGCCCGGACCCAGACCCAGATCCTCCAGGGACTGATGCCAGACACTCGCTACGAGGTGACTGTGGTCTCCGTCCGTGGCTTTGAGGAGAGTGAGCCTCTCACAGGCTTCCTGACTACAGGTAATAAAGACTGCCCCAACACCAGGAGAGGTAGAGAAAGGAAGCAAGGCTGTGGTGGGGGTGAGGAGGGATGTAAGGGGAAGCCTGGGGCTCGGCCGCCATTGAGCGAGGAGGCAGTGGAATTGGGAGAGTTAAGGGTAGGGACAGTGGCGGGGTACCTCTGAGCTCCCTGCTCCTCCCAGTTCCTGATGGCCCCACCCAGCTACGGGCCTTGAACTTGACGGATGGGTCTGCCCTTCTGCACTGGAAACCCCCCCACAAACCGGTGGATGAGTACAACGTCCAGGTCGCATCCCCTGGGGGTGAGCATGGCTGAGCCTCCTCTGGAGAGGACTTGTTCAAGGTGGGGCGAGCAGGGGACAGCATGGAGAGGCAGGAGTTGATGGATGCCACCCCCACTCCCAGCCCCACCCCTGCAGGCCTCAGCACCGGGCAGCGCTGTGGACTATGCACTGACGGACCTGGCGGTCGACACCAACTACACAGCCACCGTGCGTGGTCTCCGAGGTCCTAACTTCACCTCCCCAGCCAGCATTACCTTCACCACAGGTAGAGCCAGGGGTGTGTGGGGGGTGGGTCATAGGAGGTTCAAAGGGACAGATAGGGGCTCACCTGCCTCTTCCTATGTCCCCTTCCAGGGCTGAAGCCCCCCCAGGACTTGGAGGCCAAGGAAGTGACCCCGCGCACAGCTCTGCTCACTTGGACTGAGCCTGAAGTCCCACCCACAGGCTACCTGCTCAGCTTCGACACCCCTGGAGGACAGATTCAGGTACCCCACTCCTGCCTCACTGGCCATCTGCTTTCCATTGCTAGATTTGGGGGTGCCCTCTCTGAACCTCCCAGTGAGTCTCCCATCGAGCCCTCTACTGACCTTGTGTGTCCCTGGTCTGTCTCCAGGAAATCCTGCTTCCTGCAGGAACCACCTCTCACAGGCTCCTCCGCCTGTTCCCGTCTACCTTCTACAGCGCCCAGCTCCGGGCTGTTTGGGGCGAGAGCCTCACGCCCCCTGTGTCCACTTCCTTTACTACTGGTACTGACACTGGGGCCTGAGCGTAAGTGGGCAGCTGGGGTCTGAGATTTGGGAAAGAGGGCAGACTCCCCACCTCTTCTCTGCAGGTGGGCTGCACATCCCCTTCCCCCGGGACTGTGGGGAGGAGATGCAGAATGGGCCCAGCGCCTCAAAGACCACCACCATCTTCCTCAACGGCAACCGCGAGCGGCCTTTGGATGTGTTTTGTGACATGGAGACTGATGGAGGCGGCTGGCTGGTGGGTTGCATTTAGAGCTCAGGTACCTGTGTTGCACAGGAACCGATTGCCCACGAGCCGGAGGCTAATGCTGCCCCTGCCTGCTTTCCAGGTGTTCCAGCGACGCATGGACGGACAGACGGACTTCTGGAGAGACTGGGAGGAGTATGCCCATGGTTTTGGGAACATCTCCAGGGAGTTCTGGCTGGGTCTGTGCCTCATAGGGCTGGGGAACCAGGGAAGGGACGGCAGTCCTGTGGACCCCAGGACCCTGACAAAGAGTGCTCCACCCCAGGCAATGAGGTCCTACACAGTCTGACGCAGGCTGGAGACTACTCGATGCGCGTGGACCTGAGGGCTGGAGATGAAGCTGTGTTCGCCCAGTATGACTTTTTCCGGGTAGACTCAGCAGTGGAGAACTACCGTCTACACCTGGAGGGCTACCATGGCACCGCAGGTGAGGGTGAGGGTGGGCCCGGGACGGGGCGGGGCAGGCATGAGGGCCGTCCTCACCACACCTTCCCATACCCTACCAGGCGACTCAATGAGCTACCACAGCGGCAGTGTCTTCTCTGCCCGTGATCGAGACCCCAACAACCTGCTCATCTCCTGTGCCGTCTCCTATCGTGGGGCTTGGTGGTACAGGAACTGTCACTATGCCAACCTCAACGGGCTCTATGGAAGCACCGTGGACCACCAGGTAGGGGCCATGGAGGCAGCAGGCTGGCTGGATTCTGGGTCACTTGGGCTGGAATACTCTCTCACATGAATGACTGAGCTTCTTGAGCCTCAGAGGCTCATCTGTGAAATGGGACAACAATGCCAACCTCACTGAGGAAGCTTGGAGACTGTTTATTAGTGAAAGCTCGGGGTTAAGCCTCAGTCCTTTGCAGCAGAGGGTAGGCAGGGAGAATGAGTGAGATGGAAGTCTGGGGGTCACCTGCAGGAGCAGGGTGGGGATGACGAGCACCACTGATGTGCTCAGGCTTTGACTCGCCTCCCTTGACAACTCTCTCCTCAGGGAGTGAGCTGGTACCACTGGAAGGGCTTCGAGTTCTCGGTGCCCTTCACGGAAATGAAGCTGAGACCCAGAAACTTCCAGGCCCCCACCAGGGGCAGCTGAGCCTGCCGCCCACCTTGCTCACATCTAGTGTGACTGCCCAGCACTGAGGGGTCGTGCCCAGAGAAGAGCCAGTGTGCCTCTACTGCCTAGCTCACCAAGGAAGCCTTCTCTACCACGATCTCACAGCACCATGTTTACAGGGGGGAGGGGAGGGGTCAGCAACGGAGCAATAAAGGAGAAACTGAGGCACAAGGCTGGCACTGGTCCTATCCTGTCAACGGGCTCTGGCCCTGGTCTTGTGGCGCCAGGTTCCTGGGCTGCAGCCGCACCTGGAAGGGATGAATCAAGAGATTGACACCAGAATAATTCTGGGGCTTCAGGGAGGGCAGGGTGCCATCTGGTGGTGGCAGCAGCGTGAAGGCCTGGAGCAGGTGTGCCAGTATCACAAAGAGCTCCAGTTGTGCCAGAGGCTCTCCCAGGCACACACGTGCCCCACAGCCAAAGGATAGTGTTCTGGGGCTCTTGCCGGGCTCCAGGAAGCGATCTGTGGGTAAGTAACAGACAGCTAGGGAAGTGCGTCCCAGCTGAGGCCGGGGCTCTTCCCCGCCCATGCCTGACCCCATCATACCAGGCCAGAACTGGGTGGGCAGCTCCCAGACCGTCTCATCCAGGTTGGCACCTTGGATGTTGGGGATGATGATTGTGTCCTTGGGGATGTCATAGCCAGAGATGCTGAGGGAAGGCGGAGTCAGAAGCTGTCCAAGACCCTGAGCGGGGTTGGGGGGGGGTGTTCCTCAGTCAACCCTTAACCCAGGGAGTCACCTGCTAGCCCGAGTGGTGCGATGGGGCAAGGCCAGGGGCACCACCGGCCGCAGGCGCAGCACCTCAGCGATGGTGGCCATGAGTAGAGGCAGCTGTGCTCGGTTCTTGTACAGGATCTGGGAGCTGCCGCCACTGGGGCCCAACCTGAGGTCTAATTCTTCCTGCAGTCGCTTCTGGATCTGAGACGAGAGGGGGCAAAGCTGGAGTCTAGGGACCAAGCTTTGCCCTGGGTGGCTCTCTCAGGCTGCCCAGCCTCCAGCCACCTAGCCTAGAGCCCCCGCTGTGAGCAAGACCAGGCCAGGCAGTCAAGAGCAGAGCAACTGGGCCAAGAAGCCTGGATCTCCCCCCATAGCACACCTCAGGGTGATGAAGCAGGAAAGCCACTGTCCAGGAGAGCGTGGTGGCTGTGGTCTCGGTGCCACCGATGAAAAGGTCCACCACAGACATGTGCACGTGCCCCTCGTGGAGCTCTCCCGCACCATGGCCCTCTGATAGCTGCTCCATCCCTTGAAGCATGTAGTCGATCATGTCCCTCCACTGGCCTGCTACCCGGCTGTCCTGCAGAGGGCAGGGGGAGCAGGCTGAGTGTCCAGCTCGGGGAGCGAAGCCCGCCCAGCCGCGGTGAGGG